TTCCCACTTCACTAAAGCACATGTGTAAACTCCTTTATTGTGTGGGTGTGGAGGTCCCTTTTTAATCTTTGCCAAAACCTTTAAAAGCCTTTTAAGTAGATATGCTTAATTGTAGATATGCAACTTTCATTATCTTATCTCAACCATAACTCAAGAGTTGTTCACAACCTGTAGAACAAACTATTATCACTGCATATGGCTAAAATGTTTTTAAAAAAAGAAAACGCAAGTGCCATTTTTCTATTCTTAGCTTTTGAATTCTTGGACAAGTTCTTATTCTACAGGAAACTTTATTTTTACAATGGGTGCGGCTGACAGGAATACCTTTGTAGAGATTAGCAATGCATGGGAACAGAAGTAGGAAGCAAATTTACAATCAACAGATGGAAGGGGGTAGGGCCACACTGTTCTGGCTTTGATATGGAATTTATTCTGACTTAGGGGGCCATTCCTTGATACTGTGATTTTGTCTAGTATTGCATTGAAATATATTACATAAACATTAAGATGTTGAGTTCATAATACACAAAAAGTATTCTATTTCTCCCCCCATTATACATGTATTCTGGAATGCAAAAAAGAGATTTTATAATATAATTAAGTTTACCAACTTATTAAATAGAAACATAATTCTCCAGCTGTCTGCACTGTTAGGACAAGACGGTTGATGCATTTTTTCTTTGTAATAGTCACAGGAAAGTGACAAGTGCTCATTTCCAGGAGATATTCCTTCCACACATACACCCAAAATACAGCCCAACTGTTATTTAATTTCTTTCCCAGTGTTCATTAAGATATCCCAGGACAGGGAGTCATTTTAGCACTAACTTTTGGCTGACGTAGGGAAAGAAAATACATACAATAAATGGTGGATCATAAGCTGAACATGAACCAACAGAATGATGCAATTGGAGAAAGAGTAAATATAATGTCAAGATTTACAGAAGTCTAGTTTGGGACTTAAATCAGGATGATACTGACAAACTAGAGTTATATTCAGAGGAAAGACACCAAGATGAGGTCTGGAAATAAAAATAGGAACAGTTGGGGGACCTGGATATGTTTGGCTTGCAGAACATTGCAAGCAGACATAATAGTTTTCTTAACAGTAGTATCTGGAGTTAGAAAAGATTGGGCAAAAATGTTCAAAGTTGTTCCAGCAGTGAAGACAAGAAACAATGAGTTTTAATTACAGGGAAGTCATTTTTTGTTGGATATAAATGAAAACTTTCTTAAGAGTGATAGTTGTCAACTATCAAGTAGGCTGTCTCCTTTGCTAAGATGTTTAAAGAGAGGCCAGATAGCAATCTGTCAGGGACAATATATAGTAGAAGTAGATTCTTGTACAGGGCAAGTAGTTGCTAGTAGATTATCTTTAAGATGTTTTCCAACATTGATTTTATCATTCTAAATGAATAATAGATGGCACTTGAGTTTTTCAAGCACAAAAAAGTAGAATAAGCTAATATAAGGTTTCAATGCTAGTTAAATCACAATGCATAATGGGAGTAAAATTCAATGTTATTTTAAAGGATGTGTGTCTATCCATACAGTAATAAAACAGATGAGCATATAATTTATTAGTGATGTAAATGGTCCACAATTGAAATGCGCCCCCTGATACCAAGTTTATGTGTCACCAACATACCACGAGAACTAAAAAAAAATAAAAATCATGTACAGTACCTGATCACTTCACAACGCAAGGTGGTCTGTTTTCCATGCCTCTGTACTTAGACTAGTTGAGTGGATTCATAAATGGTACGGACCAAAATATTTGGCATTTGTGGGCTTCGTAGGATGGAATAGGTGCCTTGCGCAATGCATAGGCTTCAAATGAAATCCTTTAAAAAGTTAAGTCTCCTAGTCAAACTCAGCTCCTGATAACAAGAGAAAATTTACTTCAATATGGAAGTGAGTTGGTTTTCTTTTCTTCTGAGGTTTGTTTGTTTGTTTTTTGGTTATAACTTCCCAGACTAATCTCTTTAAAACATGGGCAAGGCTTAATTCTATGAGGCTTGATTCTGCTTTAACCCTCCTTAACCAAACTTTTAGCTCTGTCTGTTTAATGAATGATCTGTACATTTGTTACTCTGTCTTTTGGGAAAAATAAAAATGTTATTAGAAATATGGTGGTATCCTCTATACAGCAACCCATGTTCTTCATTGCCAATCTTAGTGCAAACTACATTACAAACTTATTATGATCAGAATGATGCACTTTCTTATAATATTACCAAATTTTGTCCATCAGGACTTACTAGGAACGGTTTGAACTGACATTTAACTTACTTTGTATTCCTTTTTAATCAAATCTCATGTTATCAATCTTATTGTTATATTATTCAAGTTTAATTAAAAACAAAAATAAAAGTACTTTTCAGTCTCCTTGCCTCCTCAGCCATATGGGCATGACCTCCACCAATGAAAGCTTTTCTGCTTCTAAGCCTACCATTTCTAATAATGAGACAAGAAGGTAGATATCAGAAAGCCAAGAATAGCTTAATACTAGAATAGCAGAGATATGTTTTCTCTTTCCACAAGAATCATTCTGGTAGGAAAATTATTGGGATGTGACTGTAGCTCCACCAGCTAAATGTTTAAAATAAAATGTGAAAAGTTCCTGGAAGCAGATTTGTTCCTCTGCTGTCTAACATATGATGATGGGTTCAGGATTTGAGTTTAAGTAGTATATATACAGAAGTTGCTGATTGCTTCTTAAAATATATTTCCTGCATTTTTAAAAAATTACATGGAGAGAAGAAGCAAAAGGGTAGCCAAAGCCTTGTGTCTCTTTAATGTTGCAAAGTCTGGTTCCAAGAATGAAATATGGCATAAGATTACAATAGTTTTGAAAGACACAGGTATTAAGATCTTATAAAATGGAGGAAGGGAAGATGCAGGCTAATATAGTGCTAAAGTTCCCTTGGCTAGTGAGACAGAACTATTTCAGGTATCATTCTCTCTTTTCATGCACTGCCAAGACTAGGCACATGGCTAGCTTTTCTCCCCACCTCCTTACCCAATGTGACATGGGTGACTGAATCAGTAATAAGGGACTCTGCTATTTGAAGATAAAATGTTCCAACTACCAAACCAACTCATTTTCCATGACATTCATGATTTCTATCAAATTTGTTTGCCCTATTTTATGTTAGTCAAACAGTTGACAATGCAACCATATTTGGACTGCGAACTGCCTGGTTGCCTGCAAATATAGGAATGGTACGGCTCAGGCTTCTTTGTGATATTTTTCTTTCCCCTTTACACACAAGAATACTTTCTTCAGCTGCAGAAACTTTTCTGTTCCCTTTGATGGGCTCAAGATTTCTCAGTTGCTTGGTGCACAGATTCCAGAATGCCTTATATCAGCACACAGAGTTGTTTAGAAATGGAAAGGGAAGCAGGAAACAAGGACCACAATTTAAAACTGGGAGATGCTGGCAGCAGAGAACAAGTATTAGCCCTTGAATTCCACCATATCAGCTGTTTACCTCAGCCTAAATCACAGAATTCTGATGACTAGAACCTGCGTGTAAGGACAGATCCCCTTTCTCAAGATCCAGATGAGAAATGACACTGGAAGGAGAGCACCAAACCGAAAAGTTGTTTTATTGGTACCATACATGACCATAAATGGCACAAACTATGCAAAAAAAAAAAAAGCTTTACAGTGCCCTAGGGAAGTGGAAAGGGACAAGGTGGAGAGAGCTGACAAGAGTAAACGTCATCACTACATGCTGAGCCACAGCAGCAGAGAACGTGACATTCTTATTTTGAAGTAGGAAACGAAACAGAAAAAACCCCAATCCCTTGTAAATTACACTACTAGCTGCTATAATTACCTGCCCACGGGGAAGGACCTGGGCCCAGTAATACAAAAGTGACCAAACCGCCATGAATATATCTCAGGTTCATCCAACTGGGTTCCATCAGAGTAGAGAATATCTAGGATTCCAGAGCATGACTTGAAAGGAAATTCTTCTCACAGCGTTAAGACAAATCATGGTCAAAACTAGCAGCCCTAGGCAAACTGATGACAATAATGCTGCAAAGGGGGAAAAAAAATCTTTGCAGATAGAAATCATCTTGAAGAAATAGCCTAAGTTAGGTTAAAGAGTATTGTGCCATGACAGTGCAGCCTTTGTCTCTCTAAATGCAATCACCTTCACAATCAGTCTGGGCCATGAGGTGGCCAAAATCTCTTATTTTTGCACTCTTCTCAAAAATGGAAAATCATGCCTCACTCACGGCAATTTTGAGGCCTCTGTGACATAATTAAAGCATTTTTTCTCTCTCTCCAAGATGTACAGGATAAACCTAGGCTTTAAGGAAGAACTTTGGAAGGTAGAAAGGTAAGTAGGTGGATTTGCTACCTCTGGATTTAGTACCAGCACTTCAAATAAAAATGGACGTGTCTGGCTGGGCAATGGTTTCCTAGAGACCGTGCCATAAAGAGAAGAAACAAGTACACTCCCTTTGCAAAATGTGGGTCTATTGCTTCCCCAGATGCCACAGCCCCATTCCTGTGGTTCTGCACTGCTGTAAATTGGTAACAGTGCCCTCTGAACTGTCCTGCCTCCCAAGAAGGACGCCCATCACAATCAACTCCTCCCCCACCACCACTGGTAATGGTAGCGGCTGCCTTAGTGAGAACACAGTGAAAGAACAGCATCATACACACAGCATACAGTGCAGAAATATACAAGCACAAGGTACACAAATTTGAAAAGGGAGGGATATGGTAGGGGAGGGTGGAGCAGGAACAGCAGCACACACAAATTACACGGGAAGGGGGGAGGGGGGCAGCCATGCTGTCCTCAAAGGAGTGTATAAAGGAAGTTTGCAAAGTCTCTCCTTGGTTTGAAGCTCTCAGAACTGTATACAAAAACTAAGACTCCCAATTAGTAGACAAGCCTGTACAAAAATCAGGATTGGGGGGAAATAGGGAGGGAGGGCAGATTTTTTTTTAAACTTACAATTTTATTTTATTTCTTTAAAAAAGCCCAAAATACTGAGGGCGGGGTATGTACGAGGACTGCAATTTCCTTTAAGAGCAGGTTGGGACAAAACAGCCCATGCCTAAGGATATGACTAAAAGGACAAGTGCCCTTCCAGGTAACTGCAGAATATTTTAATAATGCATTCCAGAAAATTTAAAACCCCATATAATCTCCTGCCATATTGGTTTTCTGGGTTCTTCAGGCAAAGCAGAATTACTGCTCTGCCAGCTCTAAGACAGTCAAGATGAACTGCTTAAAATTCAACCCACAAAAATCATAGCTGCACCAATTTGAGTCATGACATTGTCCACAAGACTCTAAGACTCTCCTGCTAAAATGGAACTTTCTTGATGCCCCTTATATGAAACTGAATGATAGAAGGGGGCTTAGACCAGATTTTTCCTGCCCATCTTAAGTACTCAGTCCTGTGACCTCCCAAAGTACTTCATGCTGATCCACCAAAGTTTGGAGGCTCTAAGGGACTGCTATGAATACCACCCCCTAACAGTGTAGCTTGTGGTATCCAGGGCGCTGGATGCATTGACAGGGAAGAAGGAATTAAAATTCTGCTGGGACTAAAAGCCCACTGTTCCAATTCTGCCCTAAAGGGGACATCCAAGAGTGCAGACAGCAGGGAATCGTGGCCAGGTTAACTGTAGGCAGGCAGGCGCTGCAGTGCTCATAGGCCTTGATACCTTGTTGGCCAGCCACTCTTCTTCACAATTGTCCAGGTAGAATGGTTTCGACTCAGTCCATGGGACACCAGCCAAGTCAAATATAGGCCCGGCTGGGCACTGTTTGGGGGGCTTTATTGTGATGCTTGCGACGTTGGATTCTCAGACTTGCTCTCCTGACTGGAAGGGGGCTTGCTGTTCCAGGGACTGTTGGCGCCCAACGCGGGAGAGTTGTTGAAGCTGTCCTCATCATCAATGCCATTGGCAGCGTCAAACTGTGTGTTCTCCAGTCGAGTGATAAGGCGCTCATCTTCGTCGCCAAACTCACCACCCATCAGGGTTGGCTCGCCCACCACCATCACATCCTGAGGAGGGAAGAGGGTCCCGAAACATAATCGAGGTGGAGACTGCCCTGACCCATATCACAATGTTCAAGGGAGCTAGCTATCACAACAGCAAGGACCTCTCTCCCACCCTCCTAGAATGAGGGATCAAAATTAGTCTCAGCCTTTACTCACCCTTTCCTAATCTAGCACCTTCCAGATGTGTTGCAATTCAACAACTAGGAGTGGCATAGAACATTCTAGATGGCACCTTATTTGGGAAGGTTTCAATATTCTCTTCAAACATTATCCCCCTCTGGACTTGAAACAATGTTACTATCTGTTTCTACTGTATCTGGGCAAACAGCATCTGATAAATCAGTAGATGCCCTGGGATACTGGAGAATCACAGTCTCCTCTCAATTCCCACCTGAATGGTTCAAGGCCTATTGTAACCTATTGTTAAGAGGAAGAAGTCTGAGTTTCTTCCTACTCACAAAAAAATGAGACTCTGGCCCTAACAGCCTTCAAATGAGCTACATTAAGGAATTATACTAATCCTTTTTACTTTGTAAAATAGGATGGGCATAATCAAGATAAATATCTCTGGGACATCTACAATAGATTAGCAAGGATTCCTGATATTCATTTAACAGCAACAACTAAGCTGCTTTCCCTTTCTAAACCAGGTTGCTGGAAAAGGACATCTGAGGGAAAATCAAGAATAGATTTCTAGATAAGAGATCAATTCTGGCTGGCTTATAAACTCAGACATGACCTTATTCCTTAACTCTTAGGGAAGTTCCCTGAATCTGGCTTGGAGGACTCCTAGAAGCCTGAATTCTACCAGGTTTGTTGTAGGAAGCATCACCCATCCTTTTGGGGAGTGCTTCAGCTGCATGAAACATGGCCCCAGGCCAAGGAATTCTCAGGTTAAAAGGACAGGAAAAAATGAAAAGGGGATGCTTACAGGTACCTGACTGGAGAGGGCAAAGGTGCTGGCTGGGCTCTTCTTTTTGCTGTTGCTATTGTTGGTATTGCCTCCGCCGGAACTCATGGTGCTACCTCCAGACATCTTCCTTTTCCGGCGCTTACTAGGCTGCTGACGTGCCGGTTCAGCTACGAAGGAGTTTGTGAAATAATATTTGGTGAGATATCTTGCCTTCAGTAAAAGTAATCTAACGTTCCCAATTGTTTCAACATAGGCAAATTGTAAATTTGCATGTTCCAAGCAAGACCTGAATAAATGAATAAATACTTCCCACTATTTATTCATAAATTTATATGCTGCCTTATTCAAACTTTATAGCAAATCTACATTTCCACCCTGATTTCCACTTTCATGTTTACGTCCTGTGCTATAGTTTCCGAGATAGGGTTTTAGCACAGGATAGCACTCATCAAAGCTCTGAGGCATTCCAGCTGCAGGAAGCCAATGCCCTGCTGCCCTCAGGTGGGCTTGGTTGGAAATGCATCTGATTTACTGGTCAGCGCATAGGATAGTCTTCCCTACCGCTCAAAAGTCTCACCAGGGGGCGCCACCATACGTTGCCACTTCTGGAATAAGCACGTCTTGAGGCAATCCCGAGGACTGAGACTGTAGGTCTTGTGTCGAGACATCAACTCCTGCATTGGTTCTAGGATTACACACAGCTGTTAGGAAGAAGAGGAGAGAGAAATTCTGAGATAGAAGACAATCCAGATGGAATCCTCCTGGAGCCATAGATTGATTTCGAGACACTGATTTGAACCTGGCCAGATATGGACACCGACATTCTGACAAAACAATTTCTTAGTGCCTGATACTTGGGACATACAATAAAGAATAATAAAGTGCATCAATAAAGAACAATAAAGAATATTGTTAAAAAAATAAAGAACATTCACCTTTCTCTGAGGCCAATCCCAAATCAGTTTTGGTAAGAAGCGAGAGGTTCAGCCCACAGCACCCGTTGTGAGGTGCCTCAGGGCTTGGTGCTCTCTCCTCTCCTTTTTAATATCTATATGAAGCTCATCTGTCACCATGGACTGTGCTATCATCATCAGTACATGGATGATACCTTGTACAGTCATGTCCTGGGTGATGCTATCGATGCCCTTTTACAGTGCCTGGAGATTTTGGAGATCTGGATGGGGAACAACTTGCTTCAACTGAACCCTGGTAAGACAGAGTGGCTGTGGGCAAGGGGGTCCTCTATATTCTAGTACTTGCCACCCATGATCCTGGATAGGGTTGCCCTGTCCCAGACCAAACAAGTGTGTGAGTTGAAGGTCCTGCTGGACTAATGAATCCTGCTTGAGGAGTAGGTGGACAGTCATGACTAGGAGGGCCTTTGGTCAACGTTGTATTGTAAACTAGTTATGCTCCTTCCTGAATTGAGAAGTTCTTCTCTGAGTTACTGATGCTCTAGTCATCTCCCATATAGACTACTACAATGTGCTTTACATGAGACTACCTTTGTAAAGTACCTGGGAGCTGCAGCTAGCACAGAATGTGGTGGTGTGGGCAGTTTAGGGCACCCCTAGAATTGTGCGTGTGATGCTTCTATTACTGAAATGCATAAGATGCCTATTTGCTTCTGAGTACAATTCAACATGATTATTCCCTCTAAAGCCCTTCACGGTATGGGACCAGGTTACACTGACCTGTCCCACCCAGTTACACAGGAGGGTATGTTGCAGACACCACTGATTAAATAGTTTTGATTGGCAGAGTCTACGAAGAATGCCTTCTCCATCACTGCCCCCACAGGGGTCGTGGGTGCCCACTCTTATAGGCTTCCGGAAAAGCATTAAGATCGGAGTCTGTCACCTGGCAACTGGATCTAAAAGTGGCACGCAACCCTGGATATGGTTGGTGGCTTGAGAGCACTCCTCCATCTTTTAAACTTTTTTTGTTCTGCTTCTGTTTTTAACTTTGTTTTTGCCTATGTTTCTCTTATATGGCTGTATGTTTTAAAAGGATAATCATTTATGTGAGATGGAAGGTGGATAGATAGATTGATTGATTTACATACTTGTATTTATTTATTATTTTTACAATCTAACACATCTTCCTTCTCCTATTTTCTGCACAACAACCCCGTGAGGTGGGTTGGGCTGAGAGGGACTGGCCTGAAGTCACCCAGCTGTCTTTCATGGCTAAGGAGGGACTTATGGCAGCTCTCCAGCTTCAATCTTAGTCTTTCCGTGTTAGTTGGGATCAAGCTGGATAGCAATTTCTATACATGAACTTCAAATTACCTTTAGAATTCACAGGCTTTTCTTGACTGCTAGCAATCCAAATACTAAAAATGTTTTGCCTGGAGCACCTGTGAAGCTTTCACTAGAAATAATGCAGCAAACTGACTTTCATGCTAAATATGTTTAATCAAATCTGAATTTGCAAAACATATGAGATGTACTTTTCCTGTATGCTTTCTTCCTCCTAGTGTGGGTAGGATTGTGGAGAACAGCTCAGGTGCAAGTTTTTCCACATAAGGGACAGATGAATCTTTCCTTCCCCTCATCTCCTTCATAGCCCAAAAAACTAGGGTGGGTCTCTTCTGAGCCTCTTACACTGCCCACTATCCAGTTGCAGGCTAGACTGTCTCTTATCTGACTGTTTCCTTGGCAGCAGTCTCTTTGCTTGGGTTCCCAAGGTCTTTCCCACATCCCATTACAACTGTGTCCTAGAATCACGGGTGCTCCATTGCTGAGATTTTCAAAGGAAGTTGGACAGCTATTTAGATGGGATGATTTGAGGATTCCTGCTCTGGGTAGGAAGCTGAACTGCAAAGTCTCCAAAGTCATTTCAGACCCTATGATTCTCTGATTTTGTGTGTACCAGCTTTACCCTAGTTACCCTGTACAACCACTCTGAGATTCCTGCAGACTTTGTTTTCACCGGTCATGGTTCATCCAAAATAGTTTCCTAGAACTTCCAGAACACAATTTGTTTTTTCAGACTTGAAGCAAAGCACATTTTCTGTTCTCTATACACCCCTAGTGAATGGTCTTGGGAGATACAGCTATGATTCAGTCCTTTATCCTATCACAGTAATATAGAACAAAATGCCTAACAGCTTTCTGTACTGTCACTACTCTACATTATCATCCAAATGGCATTTTTAATTCTGTTTCTGTCCAAAGGTGGAAATACCAAGGAACCTATTTCTTAGTTTCATAGGTGCTGAAGAAAGGCACTTACTCGGAGGTAGTTGAGTGTGGAGTTTGAAAGTCCACATCGAGTAATATTTTTAGACAACTGGTCCAACATCTGGGGATCTTGCGCCTGGAGAGAAAATGTTAGAAGCAGAAATAAAACAGTTAAACAAAAATATGTTGCATCAACACATAAACACAGCAGAAATATTTAAACCCCATCTAAACAGGGGCTATTACTAAACTCTGAACTTACATGCATAGCAAGGATGCTACGGGGAATAAGCTCCCGATGCTGCCGGACACTGAAGTGCCATGTCTTTATCCTCATCATGTCATCAAACATGAATTCCAAGTAGAGGCGGCCCTCCACAGACACCTGGACAAGAAGAATGTAAAGGGCTATGAGATCCAAGTGAGTATTCTCTTAAGTAATTATTTCAATGCTTGTATATAAAGTCTATGGGCCATATAATAGAATCAAATTCTTGACTGCTTTTTAGATTATAGCATCCCACTACTCAAATTATATCCCCAGAGTCATACTATTGTATTAGATCACATCTGAAATTCATTTAGTGAATATCTGACATTCTATTAATATTTCCCAGCAGGCATATACTTTTCTTTTCTTATAACTGCCTTTTGTTAGATTATTTCCTGGTTTCTCATTCTTTGGTATCTAAAATTAAAACATGGGATATAGAAGTCATTATAATTTCAGACTACATTCCTAAAAGAATTGTTGCTTTATCTGACAGAAACATTCATTTCCAAAGTAAATCTGACCTCATGCTTTTTAGCTTGAGGTTCCTCGGGTTTAGATTGAGTTAACAAGTCTGGGGAGCCCAGGGGACTGATGAAATATTGAGATGACCACTGGTTAATTAGGGGTCCTAGGTGCTCTCTGAGCTTGCTTGTTTTCTTGCAGACATTTCATTACCCAAACATCATCAGTGCTAGTAAGGAAACATCCCAACCAAGGATCTCTAAGACCACCCCCGCCAATACTGACAAGCAAGCCGCCAGAATATAAACCGACAGCAAATGGCACTCCTTACTAGCACTGATGATGTTACCCAGTTTGGGAAATGAAACATCTGCAAGAAAGCAAGCAAGCTCAGAGAGCACCAAGGACCCCTCGTTTCAACTCTGAGCTACAAATATTCTCCTTTATTGGTACTGGCTAATTAACATCTCCTCTTCATCTATTCTATTTTTTATTCTGTTTTTAGTTCTTGTGGCTTTTTACATTTGCACTCATATTAATAATAATATTAATTTGTAGATTTTGTTTTTACTTTTGTTGTAAGCTGCCCAGAATCACTTGATGGTGAAATGGCCAGTTATATAAATACATTTAATGAATAAATCATTGCAAAGGTTTTATAAATACGTAACATTAATTTAACTTTATTCAGCTTTCTATAAAGAAGAATTACTGGTTTAGAAGCCTTAAAAAAATCCTACAAAATCCCTATCCATTAAAGAGCAATTGCATCTGGACCAAATAAAAGAATAACAAAATTTTATTTTGTCCCTGCGTGTGTATGTGTGTGTGTGTGTGTGTCCCTCCCTTCCTCAATTTGGGAAAGCTGACAGGATCCCAGTCTCATATTCTAATGAAATTTTAGGAATAAGAAATTCCTGGTCTGTCAATAAAACTGATAGCAGATGTAATGTGCTTCTCTCATAAATCAATAGACAATTTCACTGATTGATATGAAATTAATTTCCTGTTCTCTTAAAATGAAGGTAATATGATAATGACAAAATTTGCTTTGCATATTCTGTATGTCTCAGCGAATATTCAACAGATGTTGGTTGTCCCAAAGGTGCTTTTCCAAAAGGCAACTGGCCTTTCTTGTTTTTTTTAAAACATTTCGCTTCTCATCCAAAAAGCTTCTTTAATTCTAACTGAATGGTGGGGAATAGAAGGGAGTTATATTGTTTGGAATCATCTGGTTGTTGGCACTCTGGAAAGAATGTCTGCAAAGAATATAAATCTTTCCATTCCTTGTTTTGCAATACTTGGTTTTTAAAATGTAATTTCCAGGCTCTGTTTTTCTACCTATCCCATTTCCAAATAATGCTGGATTTAAATTAAATTTAAAATTGTGCTATATGGATTTGCATTTTTATTAATTCTTTTAGAATAAAAATAAATTTAAAAATACACTGTAACACAATTTTGTTCTAATTCTATTTGTAGCTATCAACTCTTTCTTTCCAAGCAGGGGGTCTCTTTACAAGAATACGTGAAGAATGCTGAAGACTGTAATTCAACACAAGCACCTCCTGGTAAGCCCTGGGGCTGGAGAAACACCATTGCACTCTCACCTGGGTGAACATAGGCTTGCCATGCTGAGTGACCATAGTACACTGATCACAATCAAGTGAAACAAAGTTGTTATGGAAGGATTCCTTTGGGTGCTTCAGAACATAATACAGCTCAGTAGCGCCCCCCTCAAAGATACTGCGGAAGTAGCGAGGAATTAGGGTACGGCCGATTGCTGGACATCAGGAAGAAAAGGGTGATAAAAATCAATTCACTTTTCATTCTTTGGGGTATACATTCATGACCAGCATTGGCAAAAGCATTTTTATGAAGATTATGAACAATACATGGAACTGCCAACAGGCCAAGACCCAAGTCCTGAATGTACTGCTCAGAAACAATAATGTTTTTATTGATCATTCCTTGATGCTGCCAAGCTCCATACCCATCTTAATTATATTTCTTTTAGATTCCTCTAATTTAAAAAGTATGGGGAGTAGCACAGAAGTAGCTCAAAAAGAACTTTATTTTCAACAGTGCTTCTGGATCTATCTAGTGTCATCACTATCTTGTAGTATCTTTCAAGGATTTCAGACAGGGTTTTTCCTAGCCCTAATTACAAATGTCAGGACTAAACTTGAGACTTCTGCATGCAACACATGCAATCTATACTCAACTATGCTTGTTCCACAATAACAGAACTGCTTTAAGTTGTTCTAAACAGATATAATGTATTTTTCCATCTTAAAATAATCCATCTACTTTCTAGAAAATGACAAGTGCATGCATGACTCCTAAGTCCAGAAATCTGTCAATGCCTTAGGAATATTTTATTCAAAGTATAATATTCCAAAATAGGAACAATATCAATTTGCTGATATATTTAATGGTTTTTGCAAACACCCTAAGCATCCTTTTAATGTTACTTCTAACACTTTGGAAGAAATACCAAAGGAAAATCTTATCAGATGTTGATTTTTAGGTGGGGAGTAAAGGAAAAAATGTGAAGCCTTATATAAACTGGGCTTCCAACAGTATTGTGATTAATGATATATAATTTTTATTTAAGTAATACAAATCCTCTTAGAACAAAAAAATGAATTAATAAGTTGGTGGAACACGGAATTTTCAACAAAAATAATTTCTAAAAATTGTTTGTCCACTCAAAGGTAATGTATTCTAACTGAAAACTTCATGGTAATTTCTAAAACACACAATGGGGAGCACAACTCTTATACAAGATCATAAATGCTAAATGCTTGCCGGGAATGCCAGGACAGTTTCTGTAGGGACCTATATATATAAATAGAAATACATATGTATAGTTAAAAAAAGTAAAGGTTTCCATGTCCAACTCCAGGGGGCGTTGCTCATCTCCGTTTCCTAACAGACAGAGCCAACGTTATCCGCCAACGTTATCCGAAGACACTTTCGTAGTCATGTGGTAGGCATGACTAAATACCAAGGTGCACAGAATGCTGTTACTTTCCCACCAAAGTGGTATCTATTTTATCTACTTGTATTTGGATGCTTTTGAACTCCTAGACTGGCAGGAGCTGGGGCAAGAAAGGGAGCTCACCCTGTCACACAGTGCTTGGGTCTTGAACTGCCAGCCTTCAGTCAAAAAGTGCAACGTCTTTACCACTAGGCCATCGTACCCCTTAATATACATTACTTAGTCAAAAATCAACTTTCTTAACTTCTGAATTTAATGTTCAGAATTCTTCTGAATATTCCCTTTTGTGACGGTCTATGAGGACAAAGAGGCATCTGATGCAGCTACAGCAAATGTGTACCAGGTCCCAAGATCATAATGACAATAGGAATTGTTCCCTTAGGATTTACTCCAGAAGACAGTAGATAAGCAGATAACTATTTGCATCTGCGACTTTATACATGAAAGATTTCTGAAGTAGGACAATAGTATATATCAACCAGACATGGAACTCAAAGTGACTCACTGTATCTCTTTGGTCCATCTTCCAGACAGAAAGTGATTGTTAACATGGCATCATCCTCAAAAAACTCAGTGGTGAAGGCATCCCACCACAGATTGTCACATTCCTATAGGCAAAGAGCAGAAGAGATAAAGGTGCTATTAATGGATGGCATATCTGTCCAAGGGGAGCATTCCACGTTAATGATTAAATTCACAGTTTGGGAGTACTTCTGGATCTATCCATGTTGCTTTAGGAAAAAGTGGCCACTGCGGCCAAAATTATTTTTTACCAACTTAGGTTGGTCCTCCACTTATGCACAGCTAGCTTCAGTACAGTAATCCATCTACTAGTGATGTTTTCTTTAGATCAGGGCTCCCCAACCTGTGGGGCCATGGCCCATTACTGGTCCGTGGACTATTCACAACTGGGCAATGTAGAGTGGCTGGCTGGTGCACGCACATATGTGCGAGCGCAGAGCCCCACTTGTGCAAGTGCTGTACTTGGGGCCCCACTCATGGAAGTGTCGTGGGCGTTCCATTCCCCACTCACGTGAGCATTGCAAATGCTTGGAGCCCCAATTGTGTAGCACTCTAATGTGTTTTTATAAAACATTTAACATACATGTTCATTAATTAATTTTACTTATTGTTTTAATTATTAAATTATAAACTGTTTTGAGACATCTATTAATAGCAAATGATGCAGAAAAAAATTAAAATAAAATCAGTTCTCAAAAGTTAAATAAAAATCAAGGACTGATTAATAGCTACAGCCATTTCCTCTCTTGTGCAATCATAATAGCTATATATATACCGTATATCTCCAAAGCTTTTCCATTTCTTCTAATTCAGTCATCCAGAAGCCACAGTAACATACCTCTGTCCAGTTTTGCAGCCGCTTATTGAGTTCAAATATTCTGTAGTCAGTCTGGTTTCCATATGGTGTGTGTCTCCTGTCAAACAACCACAGCAATTACCTAACATTTATCCAGGAAACCTGGATGTGCAAAATGTTTTATTATTGGGGGGGGGACATAGATGTTATTGTGATTTCAAACCAGATTTTCACAAAACCTATTATCTTATTTGAATTTTAAAAATTAAATACAACTTTTAAGTGGTTCTTATGTGTAGCTTTGCTGAAAAATAAAAAAAATATTATTAGGCAGATGGAACAGAAAATAAATTAGTTACTTACCTGTAACAGCAATTCTTTCAGAGGTCATCTATGAATTCGCTCACTTAGGTTGTGTACCTTAACAGAAGGGACTACACTGAACCCGTCCAGTTCTGAACAAGGACACAGCGGGATAAAGAAACAGGCAAATCACCTCAGACTTAACAAGGTAAAAAGACATACTGGGCGAATTAATAGATGACCAATCAAAGCAATGGAAGCACAAATAAGTACCCATTCTTCTTCATTATGGCCCTTGTGATTCAGAAAGATTGCTGATTAGCAAACTTCTTACTAGGAGTATGGTTGGGCCCATCAAGATGACCAGAGGAGAGCTCTATAAAGCCTGCATCGTTCTGGAAGCAAAAGTCCACTCTATAATAAGGGGTGAAGATGGAGACTATGCACCTGCCCAGCAAAGCTCTGAGACATCTATTAATGGCAAATGACACACAGCTTTCCTGTCTCAGAGGAAGGTTTCTGGTCTTGCTGTTGAGGATAGCCTGGCAGCCCATAATAATCCTTGATGGTTACAACCACCCATTTGAGCACACAACCTATAAGCTTTTATAAAGTCCTTAGAAGGCCAAAAATAAGTATTGACCTGGTAGAAGGGTGCCATTAAAAAATAGCATACTTTATGCCCATCCAAAAGAGGAAGTTTACTCCCAGCCAGAACTGGCACTTATGAAATGACACCATAGGGCTGCAGGCTAGAAATCCATGACATAGGTCCAAAATAACTTTATATTGTTCCAGTAGTGTTGAAAGGACGACTACAGGCAGTCCTCACTTAGCAACTACAACTGGGACTGGCAACTCTGATGTTAAGCAACAATCGTTAAGCGAGACATCGTGGGACCAGAATGGACTTATAGCCACATTTCTGCTGTGGTTGTTAAGCGAATCACTCGCAATTAAGCGAGACATCATGTGACTGTAATTTGCAATTTTATAGTTGGCTTCTCCATTGATTTCATTGACTCTGCTTATCAGAAACTGGTACAAAATAGGACACTGTTACTGTCAAAAATGTCTGCTAGTTGTGAAGTGCCTGAATCTCAATTACATGATCACAAAGTTGCTGCAACAGTCATAAATGCAAGGACAGGTTGTAAAGTTACTTTTTCAGCATATATATGAACTAAGAAACTTGATGAAAGGAGAAGTTAGGAATGAACATACTATTGGTACTGTGGTTGAAACTGAACTGAGGCACTACAGCAGAAGCTGCATTAGCTATTGGTATGGACAGGACAGGGCTCCCACTAAACATGTTTGTAGGCTCTAGAAGTTTCTAAACAGGACTCTGTACAAGTACATTATCTCATGAGTACAAATCACTAATACAACATGGAAAAGGCTGAAGTTTTTAAATATTAATAGGACTTGATTACATCATTATCTCTAGAATGTGAAATTCTAAATTCTCCTATACTGAATATAAAGTTTAAGAAATCACTTTATATATCTAGAAAATATTTTCAGAAAATAAATTGTTTATAAAATTTCTATGGGGTTCTGCAATTCCGAGAACATCTTTACAGAAAATGAAGAAAATTACAGGTAGTCTTTGACTTAAGGACGGTTTGCTTAATGACCATTTGAGGTTATCACAAGCTTGAAAAACATTACTTATGATCTGTTCTTGAAGTTATGACTGCTGCACCACCCCATGATCATATGACTGCATTTCAGGCACTTGGCAACTGGTTGCAGTGGATCTCTGAAAGCAATTACATCAGTTAGAAAGTTAGGGAAGTTTAACAGCCTGGCAAATTGATTTTTTAAAATTGGGAAACCCAACTTTAAACATTGGACGGAAGTGGGAATATTAACTTCATCTATAGATGAATTACTTAATGATCATTAAGTGTCATCTATCAGGTATCGCCCAATGGCATTTATACAGAATAAGATAATCATTTAAATGAAATATATACATACTTGAATATTTGCATTAGACAAGTATATATAGAATTATAACTTTATTGTTGTAACACCATTTCATATTATGTTTCCTTTGTCGTACTTCTTTCACTTTTTTCTGTTAAAGCACTCTTTGTTTTCCTTTTTTCTTTTTCTCTTTGACAATGTTTCCCCATCATTATCTTTGTTTTGCTGATTTTCTTTTTGTTATTAATTAAAAAGCAATAAATGATAAGATATTATTTATATTTATTTCTTATAAATAATAAGAAAATAATCAAGAAATCATTTTAATCATACTTGAAATATTATGATTTAGCTATATTCTAGTTAATATTATAAGAAGCTTTTTCAATTTTATCTCTCCCCTCCAGCAGGATCAACACATTTGGAGGGCATCAAATTGAACAAGGAAATACACAGACTTTATATGATATCTTACCCAATCCCTGGCTCCAGGTATGTTGGTGGATACATAGGAGTTGGTCTGCGAAGAAATAAGCCCATACAAGATTAATTTATCAAAACCCTGTCAAATCATTTCATTACCAAGCAGAGTGTATCCCAGACAAGTAACTTTGGAAAAGGTGGGGGGGTGGGGGGGGAGAACACGCTTCACCAATGTCCACCTTCCACTTCAGATTTTTTTTCTTAGCTTAGGCTCCTTCAGTGATTAGACAAATAATGTCTAATGCAAAGTTACTGAAGTATTATTATTATGGGGTATTATTATGATCACCATAATTTACAACACACTGAGAGCTGTAGATAAATCACACTGTGCTCAAACACATGTACTGTACATCAGGCTAGATGAAGGCTGTTTAAGCTTCAACCGCTATTAGAAATCAGCTTGACTATTTATTACTGGCAAAATCCACAACCAAAAGTATTGCAACAAAGTTCACATGAATGGAGAATCATTGATGTACAGCCAAAATATAATTAAAGAAAGTTTGTCTTAGAATATTTGAAGTGATTTAACAGTGCTGTATCTTAGTGAACATCTGTGGAGAATACTTTCCTTGTGCTTTTTCTTGTATTTTGGCATCTTTTAAAAAGGAAAAACAAAACTAAAAATCAGTGAAAAAAGGGGAAGCAAATAAAGCAGATAAACAGTTCCTGTTTTGCTTAAAAAATATACCATAACTTATTCGGAGGGGAGGACATATTTTCATTTCATTCCTCAATACTTGGTGTGAATGTAATGAAATCATACCAAAGGGAAACGGCATCCCTTCCTCAGGAGACTGGGCCAGGAGAAACTGGTTGTCCAAGCATGATGAATCTGACCATTCCTACTCTTAAGGAGATTCCCCCTGCTCTGTCAACAAATTTGATAGCATGTTTTGTCTGACAAGAACCTGCTCTGCAGTTTTGATTCTTGTTCTTCCTTCTCCTTTTTACATGCAGGCAGTTCTCATGGCCTACATCAGGGGTAGTCAACCTTGGCTCTTTTATGACTCGTGGACTTCAACTCCCAGCTAAGCTGGCTCAGGAATTCTGGGAATTGAAGTCCATGAGTCATAAAAGAGCCAAGGTTGACTACCCCTGGCCTACATCATAGTCAGTCGTTAACTCGGCTATAAGAACTGAGGAGATGGATCTCTGCCCAAAATTCCTGCAGGAAAGTTTGTTCTATTTTTAGACTCACATCTATCTTCAGGTTCCTCATCATTGAAGAGCAGTATGTTATAGGTCAGTGGATCACTGAATAAGTAGACTCATTTTCCAACAATCACACAGTTTAGCTGACCTGGAACTTCCTACCGCTTGAAACATGTTGCTCCAGACTTCTGATACTTAAATTGTGCTCCTAAGAATACTAGCGTGCCAGGAGAATATAAATAATCACAAGTTTATATCAGCACAAAATAGTACCTTCAGTATCTCTGCATGGTTGGCCTATCCTCTTTCCAATCAAGAATGGATCTCACACAAAAAAACAAAACTTGCTTTGTATCCTGGATAGTCTTTTTTTTTTAGGGTGTTTCTCCAATTTTAAATTCAAAAACAAATCAAACACACTTTGCCAGTTGAAAAAACATAAAAATATAAATTAAATATGAATAAAGAAGGAAAATGTTTTGTATTTGATTTTGATTCAACAATGGGAAGAAAACAGTATCCTTATTAACCATTTTATTTCCTGTATCTTAGCAGCTCTAATGCCCACCTCACTTCCAAAGTAATCCATGTTGGAATGCTTCCCACAAATTCCAACACTAATTAGGTTGACAGTGACTGGTTAACTGGGTTAACCTGGGTTAGCTTGCAGGCTATATCAAGGTTGGCATACAGCTCATGAATGATTTTTGTCGTATTTCAGAACCCATTTCTTTCATCTCTTCTGATCTGGAATTTAAAGACCCTTCACTGGCTTTAAAGGTTATGCCTTAAAAAACAGGTTTGAGATTTAATTGGTTTTGATCAAGAACATCTCAATTTTGCACTACTAAAGGAGCTTTTCGCTTACCCCACATCTCGATCCAGCATAGTGCCTGAGTGAAAGGGGGTGAAGGCGTTGCCGTTTGGGGGCTCCTTTGGAGAGTACAGCTTGAATGACTTAGAGGAACAGCCTGGGGGAGGGAAAAAGGCCATAGTTTAATGAATGCTACTTAGAAAAATATAACATTTTTGGAATATCATTACGATATTACAGACACCCTAAGACTCACCCTGCAGTACACTAGGTCTGTTTCATGTCTTCAAGTTCCAAATAGAAATGGTTAACTCACTAAGGTAGCCCACTGCTGTCATTTCAAACTGCTACGTGTAAGTACTAGAGAAAAATCTAATATTTGAAGGAAACATTTTCTTCTACAGCCTTGATAATTCTTGAAGGAATTTTAACTGAGATCTACAATTAATAAGCAGCTTTTACTATTTTTTTTCTGCTCAGCCAAACCTACTGTAGATAAAGGATTTTAATTTTTGTTAGAAGGTACAACCCAAAAGTAGCAATATATCACAGACATGTTGGACTTCAAATCAATGAGACCAACTAACAAAACTAAGCAACCAATTAGCATAATGTAGGAAAATATTTGTGGCAATATAGACCAATTCCCGTGTGATGTTGGTGTAGAGTTTCTACATTCACAATTAACAGTATAATGTCTTCTGGAAGATCATTAGGAAACATTAATTTCCTCAAAAATAAACAGAAGAACTAAAAATAAATGGTGACAAAAGGATTTAATACATAACCCATACTATCTGAGACAATTGAGTGTTTCAGAATTATAAGTTCATGTATTTCAGGTACATATACAAGAAAGGTTGCCTAGATCCTTTTGTGATCTTGGTGGGATGTAAAATTTGCAGCTTTTTTAGCTTTTAGTACTCAATGTGGAAAACTCTCTCCTATGTATAATCCAGTTTGTACATATAATTACTGCACTCTAGCTACTTGGATTGTTCTGAGCTTATAGTGTTTCATTCTGCACAAGATTACAAGACATGTGACAGTTGCACAGTTGCAGCTTAAGCACCATGATGAAAATCCTCAGTGTAGAGTCTATTTTAATATTCTAACCTTTCTGAAGTTGTTTATGGACACATGATTTGATACCATTGAAGCATTTAACAGAGATATGCTTCAAGATAATTACAGAACAAGATCTTCCCTCAATGAAAGGCAGATTAATACTGCTGTTGGATGAGCTATTGGTTAGTGACTCTAAGAATCCTAAATATGGTTTATTTGAATGCTCTTTTATTGAAGAAAATGAAAGTATATACTATAAGGGGCTTACCATGGATTTGAGAGTTCTTGCCAATGCAAATTTATATGGAACATATTATATAAAAGCTTCAGTTCAAAAAGACTACTATTGATCCTATCCTCTAGATAAGCATGATAGAATAGAATTTATAATTACAGACCTCAAGGGTATGCATTTAACCCTTAACTTCACAAAACTCCCCAAAAGTAGGAAACAGTAATCCACTGCAGATTTGTTTATTTCATCAAGTCACATTCATTCATTT